TATAAATATGTGTACTTTAGTTAAAAATAATATTGTATACTATTTGAATTATTGTATACTTATGGGTCAGCTCCAGCTAAGGCGCTAAGCATAAACACAAGAATTTGTCTTTAGTACAATAATTTTATTCGTTAAGAAAAATCTCACACGGAAATTGGTTTTTTAATTGTCTAGAGTTGATGTAGCAAAGTTGATTTATTGAATAATATGGATACTTTCATTATCATCGTTATTATTTAATATGTCAATCACGTGTTATTATGTATTTTGTTTTTTACGTGATGTATATTTTTTTTTTTTAATAGTTTCTATTGGTTTTTATATAATGTAACATTTGTATATCAAACACTTAGCTCATTCTTTTGTTATGAATATGTCAATTATAGATTATACCACAAATTCTGTTGTGATGTTAAGGGTCAATCATTATACTCAATCATTATACTATTTCTTTTTTTGTTACAGGGACTTTCCGGTTTCCGAATCCACAGGGAAACCGACTAATCCAGAATCGAGCCGGGTAGGATCACAAGGGCGACAAAGTTCTCCCGCAAGAGTTTTAACACTGCTGCATTCTCAGGGCTCGAACACGAGACCACTGGTTAAGCTGGAAGAGACCCAAGTCATCTCATTCAAGCGCTCTTGGGTAATCATTATACTATTTCAACAACATATAATTAATTAGTATATTTGTAATAAAAACAAAAATATAAATGTTGAAAATAAATAGAAAAAACTAAAAATCCACATAAATTTACCAAAAAATAAATAAATAAATAAATAAATAAATAAGTAAACACGTAATTTCTCATTAATATTATTTTCCGGCTACTAGGTTCGGCTAGTATGGCCCATTTCAGTCCAACCCAAAACTATGAAGGTTGGGGCCTGTGCAGAGCCCACCCTTAATGCAGCCCAAATAAGGTGCTCCAAAAGGTAAAGGCGATGTTAATTTTTCCAATTGACAGGAAAATAGTTAGTTAATGGAAAATGTTAAACCAAATTTCATAGCCTCTTCACTTGCTTAAGCTGTTAAGCAAATATAATAGAGAAATTTTTATGTTTCTACATGAAATAGAAAATATTATAATTATATCATTGATAATCAAATAATTACAAATCTACCTAAATAAGGATTCTTTAATGCATGTAAGCTTAAAAGCAGTTACATAACCCCCTCAATCCCCCAATTCCCGCATGATATCCAGTAAAAAAAATAATTGCTTTATGTATATAAAATGAAAACCTGACTTTATATTTAATATATATATATATAAAATAAACCATAAAAAATGGTTGGTATATGTATTGTATGTATATTCCATGATTTTACTAAATATAAACCATACATATACCGAAAACCCTAAACCCTAAACCCTAAATCCTAAACCCTAAACCATAAAAAAAAGACAGTTTATGCTTGTTTTAAATCAGTTTTTGGATATTTTTTAGTATATGTGGAGTTTACGTATTGTTTTATTTTACT